TCTGGGTCCTTCTCGTGGGCTTTGCTATAATTCATCTGTGTTTTCATCCTTATAACGATCTTCCTCATCACAAGTTTGCTTCTGAAAACTTTTTTGAGCCCCTTGTTTTGCTGGTGCTTTCAATGTCCTTCATACTGTTGAGGTTCTCGGCCATGGAAAGCTCCATGAGTTATTCAGCAGCATATGTGTGGATTGTAATTGTTATTAACTCTTGCATTCTTCTCCTATTAGTGGGCGTTATTTTCTACCGTCTTATAATAACTGGGTATGAAGATTCCCATGGGTGTTCTTGTGGCGGAAGCGGCGTGAATGAAGAAAGAACCAATTTGCTGTCCGTGAACAGCCAACATTGGGGAGACACAGAAGTCGACGACATCGACTAATTTAAATTTTTTTTTCTATCTGAACGTCCTGCATAATTAACTATCATAGATATAGTTGATACTCATCGTTCAAGATCTTGTGACTTTAGCTTACTACTTAATTTTGGCTCCAACCAAAAAGTTTCATTACTATAGTTACAAGTTTCAGTTTTCAGTCTAAAACCACCTAAAAGACCGTGGCGTCGTTTAGGGAATTATATTTGTTAACTCTATAATATTTTGGGGTTATAGATTCTTTCCTCTTTCGGTGTTATTTTTCCGGTTCTAAAAGATTAGTAGTCTAAAAAACGATGAAAACAAAAGACAGCCCGAGGTTAAAACTATATCACAACATAAGACGGGTCAGTAAAGGTAGAGAAAGAAATCTTCTCCCTAATTCATTGTGTATCCAAAGAGCTTCGTGTAATCACTCTTGAAATAGATGGCGTTTCTGTAGGTTTTCTATTTGAGTGCGTTAGGTACTTTATGTCGAATGTTATTTTATGAACGCTGGTTATGTATTAGAAGTTTTTCTGTATCGAGCACCTTTGATATGAAATCAAGGGGATATTTGTTGGTTCAGGGATGAAATACATGTCTAGGCATAATGCAACAATGACTAAAGGTACTCTTCTCTGTTTATGGAATATGGATTTTCATTCAAGTTTGATTAAGTGGCATATAGTCTTAGGTACAAAAACAATCTTTAGCTACTGCTATGTTAGAGTTGTTTATCTGTATCTCTACCATGCCACAGAAGATACAGCCGAACAGAACACAAGAAAGCTACGCTCTATGGAAATCTGTTCAGTGAAACCTGCTCTTGTTTCTGGAGCGCGTTTTACTCTTAGTGACTGTAATTAACGAGCATGTTTCCTGCTCACATCGTTTTTTAACGTCTTCAGGGACCGCGCAGGGGGAGGGACTGGGGGGTATTAGGCCCCCCCCCCCCCACTTAAAAAAAAAAAAAAAAAAACTTGTCCCACTCAGCTTGTCCTCATCCTCTGCGTTAATGACTGAAGGTCATGCGTTCGTCTTTAGTCTAGCTCAGCATTAACTTGTAAGATATATATATATCGATATCTTGAACCAAGTTTTTTTCAAGCGTCAGAGAAAATGATATACTACACGTTTCTATATTAAAACTTTAAAACTCAGTTTTGTACTAAGTTTAAGGTATCTTGAATTAAAACTTTCTCTGCAATGTGGAAGTAATCATTTACGATATGAACAAATATTACAGGGAGAGTCGTTGGGCTGCGGAATTAAGGGAGGGAGGGGGTGGTGGGGGATATCGTATGTAAGGCCAAGGTGGGATCTCTACCCATATTCTCCGAAGTGTCCTATTCTCCGTTCCTTTCGACAAGCTGACCTATCAACGCCTTACTCGCCATGAAAAATTCTGTCTACGTTGTTTAAGCGACTTATCTTTTATCAAGTTGATCGGGATGCAGGATGGCATCGAAAACTTCACAGTTTTATTCTTCGAAATTGTATCAGGAAACATTGTCTTCTTACAAATTTCCCAGCAAGGCTTATTTTTGGTGCTCATGACTCGACAGACATTTGATAACTATCGCAAGTTTCGAAACTACAGTTTTATTCTTCTAAATTGTATCAGGAAACGTTTTCTTCTAAAAAGGTTTTTTGTTTTATTCTTCTAAATTGTATCAGGAAACGTTGTCGTCTTAAAGGTCTATTGTTGGCAAATTTATTTTATATGAACGAGTGGAATCATGAGGTTGCAAATTATGTTTCACTTCTTTGCAATTCATATTGATATCGGTTGCTAAATGACGCCAAACAACTCTGTAAAAATTCCCCGCACAGCTTATTTTTGGTGCTCATGACTCAGCAGACGTTTGAAAACTATTACAGGTTTCGAAACTGCATTGGTGATTGGACGTATGCGATGTCTGTATATTTCAACTCTAATTACAGAGGCAGTTAAGAGTAAAATTTGCAAACTACCCAGGCCGTTAATTTGATAAAACCTGCGAAAAAAGTAACTGTGCTCTGTTCACCTGCTTCTTATTCAAAGTTCAGGGTAAAAAAAGACTCGCCGTAATGATATTCAGTCCTCATATCCTGTTCGAAATATCTAGGAAACGCTCCTTCTGAAACTCCTGATACTTGCTTTCAGTTTAAGTGTTTCTCAAGATCGAAGTAGAACAAACAATAGTAATTGCCTGAAATAACCAGGTGTTAGCCCGCTGAAAGCAAGTAATGATAATCTCACTTGAATGACCTACTCAGGGACTGCAATTTCTCCTTTAAAAATCTTTTTTTTTTTTCTTATGAACCCCTAGCCCCTCTTTTTCACGATCTGTTTAGCTTTAATAGTTTTTTTAGAATTCAACAAAGAATTAAAATAAGAGTGTTGAAAAGAACTCCGCCTGGAGCTGTAAATTCACTTCCGCACACTTGCATCCTTTTTAACGCATCACTTGCATTCTTATTTTAGAAATCACGGCAGGCGTCCAAAATAGCTCTCATTACGCCCGTTTGAAATTTGATGTGCAAATAAAGGGAACACCGTGTAAACGATACTCTTACAGAGCTGGAAACATGGCCAAGTGCGAAACCCAGAAGGAAGCTTCGCGGACCAAAAGCATAAAATTTCCGTTTGGGAGGTACAAATTTATTTTCCTTGGCATCGTTTTTTACCAAATAGTTGGTCTGCAAGCTGGACAAGCTGAAGCATTGTGGCCTCGAGATACTTATGGTGAGTACAAGAGAATAGAGTTATGGCGCAGCAAACATTTGAGTCATCTGATTAAATCTAAAAAACTATCGAGTTATGATGCATGCGGAAGGTTGCTAAGTACGGAAGAAGCATGAGAGTCGTGTCATACTTTTAAAAAGAAGGGCTGTTCATCAATTCTAATTAGCAAGTTGTGCTAAATACTTTGCTCTAGTAATTGACTTTCGGAGGTTATGCATCCCTCAAGATTGATTTTTGATCATAATAGTTGAAATTCGTTTTGTATTGAAGGCCCATTTCCGACCTTGGTGCAACGAGGTCGTTTGTTTTTGTTTTGAACCACCGCTTCTGATTAAATAGCGCCTCTGATTGGTCAGTGATTTTTACTTTGTCACGTCTCAAAATACCTTCTGCGTTTTCTCCGATCAATTTGAAGAGCTTATCAAAATAATTCTGTTTAAAACAGTTCTATACGTATTAATCCGGTATGGAATCAGATGAAACCATTGATTTAGAAGATTCCGAGGCAGCGTGACTCTAAGAAAATTTTCACCGTACATTACCGGACACGGTCTTTGAATAACAAAACGTCCAGTAGTCTGATATTTTTCCATATTTCTCTATGAAAAATACCAATTTCTATTGGAAAATATTTTATTTTCATTTAGAATCCTCAAGCGCTCCTAGAAAGTGAAAAAATTTGAACGTTGTCCTTTTCGCCGACTCTGTTCACAGAGTGCGAAGAGATCAAAGCGTGACACTTTAAAAAAATTTCCTTCGGATTCTTCCCGACAAAATTCAAAATACTGTAAGGACACTGTAAAATGACGAACGGCGAATGCATTTACCGTTAAGCAGTTGACTATATGTCCAGGATAGCTCTTGAGAAAGACGATTTTAGAAGGTTTTCAGTGATCTGGGAATTTCGTGTTACAGGAAATTGGGTGGCGGCACGCGTTGCATCAAGGTTCGAAGTGGGCCTTTAAGATTCCCTGTGAAAAGCAAGCTGCAACCAAACCTCTCCAATTAATTCTAGATCAAAGAAAAGTTTCCACTTGCCTTGGCTGGCTGTATCTAGGTATTTTGTGATCCACGTGGCTTTTAAAGTCTTGCAGAAAGATCAATCATTTTTAGATCACCTTCCGCATAGTCATCGATCATTACACTTCCCTTAATTTTGTCACCTTTTCCATTCCAAGAAAATGAAGAGAAGAGTGTGTTTATTTTCATAGATGATTTTTCCACGTTCTCATGTAAACGAGTTGTGAGGTAACAAGACTTTAAAACCGTGATTTTTCCCAAGAGGGTTAGTCTGCGATGTTTCCAGTTACTTGGATATTTCGGACTGTTTCTAATTTTTTAGTTAGGTTTAAAAGAACAGTGGCTTCGGGATCAATTGATAGCCATGTGCCCAAGCTTTTAACTTTATTCTTTTGCCATTTTAAATTTATTTCTGGGCGGAGATCTTCGTAAGATGTTTCGTCGTAGCAAGTTTTCGGTCTATAGTAATAACCAGCAGCCATGCGTGACATACCCATGCAACGTCAACGTTACCAATGGTAATCAAAGGGTATGGAGCAATGAAGGATCATTACCTCGCATTTTGAGGAGTGTGATATTAACCAGTTAGTCTTGCATCATTCGTTAAGCTCGTCGAGCGCGTTACTTAGTAGGTAACAGGCTTTATTAACGGTAGATCCGATGCAGTAAGCTGTAGTATCGTCAGCATACAGGAAGAGATTGCCTGATATCACAGCCTACGGCATGTCGTAGGTGTACAAACTTAACAAAACTGGGCCTAGCACTGATCTTTGTGGGAGGCCGCAAGTCACATTAAGCTCTTCTGACTAAGTAAAAGTCACAAATGTAACCTGTGTCCGGTGATTCAGATAATTTGCGAGCTAAGAGGAGATTGCCCTCGCTTCCAAATATGTTCAATTTATATAGCAGGGTACTATGAGATACGTATTCAAAGGCTTTACGAAAATCAATAAAGGTGGTAGCGGCCACTGAATTGTTATTAACAGCTTGTCAACAACTTACTTTCTTACGATGGGAAATTAATAACTGGGTCGAGTGGCCCTTGCAGCAGGCCCGTTGCCTCTCAGTCAGTATTTCGCCTTCCGTAACATGCTTCAGCATCGTGTCAGATGCACACGATTCCAAGATCTCACTTAGAAGGCTTAGTAGAGAGATGGTTCGATAGTTACTCCTGTCAGAAGGATCGTCCTTTTTAAAAAGGGGGCATAAGCTAGTGAACTTTCTTCCATTGGCTAAAATGTTATCCTTTGTCAATACTCATCGAATACAGCTTAGTAAGAGGCGAGACGATTGCCAGCTCGGCTAACCTTAGCAACTTGCGAATACTCCATACCGGCCCCGCAATCTTATTAGAATTTAAGACCCTAATTTTCCTGGATACCGACTCCTCAGAAATTGAGAAGGGCGAAAGTGTTTGAATTGGTGTAACATCGTAACATCAAGTGCGGTTTCTCGAAATTCCTGTTCCCATTGTTACGAATGTATTAATCAGGTTTGCATTCAGTCTTTGTCTCGCACAGTAAGGGTTTTATCGTTCAGCTTTGTTGGTCTAACCTGCGGTCTTCTTTTGGTGTTTGCAGCATTGGAGAGTACTTTCCAATGCGCAGAAGTGAATTTCGTTGAATCAATGTTTTCACAAAAGAATCTAACTTTTGCTCGTCTTTCGTTGGTGGTTCTTTCATTCCTAACCTTCTTGTAATTCGCCCCTGCAGTTTCGTCTCCAGTGCTCTCAGTGGACTTATAAGCTTATACCCGTAATTCATCTTTTTCCCTATTTCATTTGTAGTCTACGGGTCGCTCTTACTGCTTATTTAAATCATGTTGAAAGGTACGTGTTCGTCGCAGATTCATTAAACATCAAGCTCCATTCTTATTGTGCATCATCTTCATCTTCAAAAACATCAGCTACACAAAATGGTGTACAAGAGAGGTCTGCGTAGAATTCCTTTGAATTTTAACAAAACCCTTTAAATTTCTTATGGTAATAATTCATGAAGGCGGAAGCCTTTACCTCAGTTTTAGAGTGGCATAATTTAGGTTTTGATTAGTAAATCTCAGCGGTAACACACCTTTTATGTTGATTAGTTCCGGCTTGGATCAACGCCATGCATTAAAGCGAACTTGCTGCAGTGCATAAATGTTTAACATGTTTTTAACATGTTGCTTAACTAAACCTACATGAAAGGGGCTCCATTTTCTACAAATAAAATATATACACGAGTAACTCTTTAGTCAAATGACATTTTCAACGCGAAAGGTATGTATCCAGGCGGGGCATTCCCGCACAAATCTTCGTGGGGTGGATTCTACCACCAATCACCAACCCTCGCCCTCCCCTGCCCGAGGGAGAGTAATCATTAACAAAATTATTATTCTAGTCATTTTCTTTATGATGACTCTTCATATTCTTTAATTCTAGATTATGATATGTTTCTGAGCATCGAGGGCCATGACTGTTTAAAAAGGTTCGTCGAATCTGATACGACATTCCCTGTGTTAACGTATGATTTCTCGTTTACACCTGAGCAAGAAAGGAATGTTCTTCTTGACCTTTACACATCTACAAATGGCCAGCAATGGTATGACAGTGGAGGATGGAACAGCTCAAAATCCCACTGCTCTTGGTATGGTATCACCTGTTACAACAATTCATATGTAAGAACCATTGTGCTGGCTTACAACAACTTGGATGGTGTTCTTCCTTCCAATCTGTGGAGGATACGCAACTTGTTGTCGCTTTGTTCTGTTCAGAACTTGTCGTTCTGCTTTGGTCATTTCTTTATTTCAACTTGCGTCCTATCAAATGGTTTTTTGTTACAGCAGTACATTTCCTCTTAATGTTGATCTTCATGCTTTTGGAATTTTTACCCACTTGGGTTTTCAAATTAAACTTGGTGGTTTTTGTTGTGTGCATGACTAGTCGAGGAAAAGGTACAAAGTCTCTTATCAGCATTGCAGTGTTTTATATGCAAACCATGGATTTTATGGTATCGAGCTCCAATGTCTGGCCTCCAAAGATCGTTGCAGCTCAGAAGTACTTGAGCAGCTACTGGAATTTGTATTTCCCTTCACTTTCGTGCGATTTTCCTTCTCTTTTCAATCCTGTTGGCAAGTTTACTTTTATTCTTCTTCTTCCAATGGGTTGCTTGGCACTCGTGGGTGTCTACTTTATAGTTATGCTAAGCTACAATAAGGTTCGTCCACAAGAACGACGAATGGAAAATGTTCACTTTAAATGCCGTCAAAGTGCCTTTTTCTGTTTGAGTTTCACTTACTTTCCAGTTGTAAAGCAAACTCTCTCCATCTTACGCCCATGCCAAAATGACCGTGATGTTCTTTACATGCCAATTTCCCCTTGGATAGAATGCACATCTGTTACTTACAGAACACTCTTAGCTCTTGGTTTTGTCTCTGTAGTGGTCTACGTGATTGGGTTTCCTTTGCTTCTCTCCTCACTCATGTTCTTTTTCTTTCGAAAAAGAAACAGCATGAGCCCAGAAGATCGTGAGAAACTTGACACATGGCTTGGTCCTGCGTATTTACCTTACAAACCAAGGTATCAGTGGTACTTTGAGATCGTCATGCTTCTCCGGCGCGTTTTGCTTGCCAGTGCGTTGTCTATGATTTCGTCATCTTTTACTTTACAAACCTTTGTTGTCTGGGTAATTCTCGTTTGCTTTGCTGTTATTCATCTGTGTTTGCATCCTTATAATGATTCCCATTATAAGTTTGCTTCTGAAAACTTTTTCGAGCCTCTTGTTTTGTTGGTACTGTCCATGTCTTTTATCCTGTTGAGGTTCTCGGCTGTGGAAAACTTAATGATGTATTCAGCAGCGTATGTTTGGGTTGTAATGATTGTCAATTCCTGTATACTACTCTTTCTTGTAGGCATAATCTTTTACCGTCTGGTTACTTGTGGGAATGAAGGCAAAGATGGAAATTTCTCTGGGTACCGTCATGTGAGTGCAAGAAATGGTAGAAGCAAAGATGATGAAGAGAGAAGTAATTTGTTGTCCGTTAACAGTGCACGGAAGAGATACGTTGAAGTCGCTAACATTTCTTAGGCCTTTGTCCCAACAACCCGCACGATTCATTCATGTAAGCGTGGTAGATCTTTACGACTGAACACTAGAACATCTTGCTTAAGTATATACCATGCTGGTGAAGTGCTCTTCGTATGGGCCGGTTGCCAGTTCAGAGTGATTAGCAAACACTATTTAGAGTCCAACCTTTCGCCATGAAATTTGACACTTTTATTAAATAATTTTACATCTGTGCGTAGTTTTAAGGTTTACAGGTCTACGATCATTTCAAGAATTTCAAGTTCCCTGATTTCTTATGCAGAATTTAGGTTTTGATCTGCGCCAAATGTTTACAGAAGGTACTTAGTGGGCCATCTGTGGGCGACCGACTGGCTGCGGGTCTAGATGCTTTTTGCTTACTAATGTAATGCTTATAGTTTCGAAATATTATTTTAAAGTTGTTTTAGACTTTAATAATTATGATAATAACAATTATAATAATAATAACAATTATAATAATAATAATAATAGTAATAATAATAATGACGATAATAAGTTTTATTTATTTCTTATTTCCATTGTAAGCAGGCCAGGTCTGGTAAAGAGGATGTGGGAAAACTATACACTGCACGTAGTGAGGAATATTATTCAACAGACGGCTCCATCGAGTTTTCATAGCTAATTGTAAAGACAACAACGTATATCCTTTGGGGAAATTTAAATCCATCTGTACCTAAAGTAAACACTACCAGATTCGTACTTAACTCATGGCGGTCTACGAGGGTCTCAATTGGGTTAACAGCATGCCATAAAACGGCCAAAAATTTAGCCGTTAGCCTTAAAATCGACAATTTTTAACCCTTTATCGTAAAGAAAATTTAAACGTTAAAAGGAAATTCTAGTGATCTCAACGGAAAAATGGTAATTGTTGGCCGCAAAAGCCATCACCCCATTGACACCCTCTGATACTGCAGCAAAGCACTGCAACGCATTACCTTGTGACATTCGTGCCGTGGCTGGCTTAAATTGGTTTTCAAAGCAGATTGGGAAAGCAAATGTTAACTTCCATGAGCCGAGATAGTTTTTCACGTTCAATAAAGCATGTATGTATGTTTGTATGTATGTATATATCTAGGACTCTCACTTGCACCTCACCTTCCACCAAACCTCCCCCCCCTCCCGCTCATTCTGAGTGTCGTGCCCACGGCCCCCGGTATGCACCGTGCAGCGATCGTCGACATTTTTAACACAGTAATTTTTCAAGGAAAGTCTGGTACTAACGTAGAAACCGTTTTTTCGATAGCCTTTCGTCTGGTTGGGGATAAGGCAAAATGCTCTTTCATTTTCCCGGCTTAAAACACTCTCACCCAAGAATATTTCATTTAGGGTCAGTTTCTCCGCACAACCAGTGATAAGTTCTGCCAAGTAAGCCCAAGTATGACCGACCACATAAGAGAGAAAGAGCCTGGGTGGAAATAGCTCTCCAATGTGTGGAGTAACACCCTCAGAGAGGTGAAGAAGAAAGCAGTTACCCCTCTATCGTGGAGGACGCGGTAAATTCACATAAATCAAGTTATGAAGAGTTATGGTTGGTTTAATAAATCCGAGATTCTACACTTAAACTTTAAGATCTACAACCATGAAATTTTTTGTTCTTCGAAAAAAAAAGAAGATCAAAATTAATGCAAAAGTTAGAACAACACAGAGATTACGGCACCTTAAGATAAACTACATGTTGGTAAACGATACATAGAGATACAAGGAAATTTTGAAGGAACGTGCATCGCCTAAACTGAAGCTTGTAAAGGCATGCCTGAAGTAGGTTTGATAGTTCTTTTTACATTCAATTGTCTACAAATATGCCTATAGTCTTCGCATAATTCTTCTATCATCATCATCTTCACGACTGTACGCTGACTGCATATTGTTCAGCAAGCTGATAAAAATTTTTCTCCTAAAGATGACAAAGAGACAAAAAATAAAAGGCGAGGTTAATTTTTGACTGAAAATTAAGCAAGAATCAGTTTGTAAAAGAAAAAAAAAACTTTCTTTAAAACATTGATTGCTATTCCTTCCTTGTGGTAACCAAGGAGCCCGTTTCAACTTGTGATGGTGCAATGTCTGCATATTCTCTCTTTATCATGACAAGTTAAATACATGAAAAATAAATGTTATCATGAAAGAAGAAACAAACAAAGAGACAAAACAAAATAGGAGAAGGAGTACTGACAACAGAGTATCATGACTGTGATAGGGTAGCCAAAAAAATCATAATCTGTAGAATTTGCCTTCACAAAATTATGTGAATTTCAGGCACAATACTGGGATGGATATAATTTATGTACAATGTCATTTTTTACTCCAGCTGCTAAATTAAGGAAAAAAACTCTTGAGTGAAATACCTTTGCCAGGAGGTCTTTTGTAAAAGGATGACTTGGATGTCCATCCTTTAACTGTGAAATATATCTTGTTGTTACCTAGAAGATGCACATAAAAAGAGAGAGAGAGAAAAAAAAGCCTTAGCATTTGCTTCAATGTACTGTGAATGCAAAAGTCAAATTTCTGCATTTATCTCCACTAGTTAATTCAAACATAATCATGAATATCCAGCACAGAATGACATGTACGCATACCTCAGGAGCTTTTCCTAGATGCTGAGATAAAACCACCATGTTGATCAGAGTTTCCGGATTACTGCTATCTCGTACAGAAAAAAGGAATCCACATCTAAAAATGCGCTTCTTAAATACAGAAATTGTGTTTCGTGTGTGAGGTAGCGGCAAAGAGAGGAGGTGGGGGGCAGGGGGAGGGGGGGGAGGAAGTTACATGATTGTACATGTATTCCAATTGTAATAAAACTTAATTCTAAACTGAATCTAATTTTGCCAAACAAACTGCCCACTCACGAAAACATTTGATTTCCATCAACTCTTTAACCCCTAAGAGTGACCAGCATCTAATTTCTCCTAACAATATCCCCCCTGAATCAAACATTAAAGTGACAAGAACAAAGGAAATGATCAACAACCACAGAAGCTCTTGATTGTTAAAAAAAAATTCTCCTTGTCAACACTTAAAGAGATGTCAAGAGAACACTATGGAGAATATACATACTGATTTCAGGGCCCAATGGGTTAATACTTTTAACTGTGTTTGTCACACAACCTGCAACAGAACTAGCCTTAGAAGTTTTTCCTTTTTATTGTATTAAGAGTGAATGTCTCTAAATCAAAGAAAAATAACAAAATCGCGGACATGGTTAAAAAATCGTTTCGTCCCATTTTTTGTCTACAGGTAGCTATAGGTACTACTTAAAGTGAAGTGAGGTTAGTTTGAGTAAATATTCATTTTAACGGAAATAAACCGTTACTAATTGCATGATCGAAAATGAGTGCGTGCGAGCTCTAAATTATGCAGTTTTCAGGCCGTCCTTGCATGAACTAAAATGCAACAGCAGGACTTCTCTAGGTATAAATATATAGATGTGGCCTTCCATTACCAAGATATAGTGATATTTTTTGTATCGTGTCCTTCCTGACAAAACCACGGGTTAATTACCAGTGGACGTGTTCGCCATTTTTAATTCATGCCAAACCCGGCCTAATGTAGTATGGCAAAAATGAATGTGGTAGTTTCTCGAAATCTCCAGCAATACTATCACGAGGGCTAATAAGGTGGGTCTTCAAATCTATCGTTTCATTTTTTCTGGTATCTTCTGCTGTTTTGATATACCAACCAACCAAACTTCGCTAAAATTGTAAATGGCGCTATATTGAAATGAACAAAATCAACATTGCAATGACACAAGCAAAGCATTGTTTGAGTCGCAGCCGCACTTAGTTTTTTATGTTTGCTTTGACATCAATAGTTCCTTACCTCAGAAATCTTTTATAGGCCCTTGTTATTTCGCTTGGAAGATATTTTCGAAATACTTTCCTTCTTTGCAATTTGGTGCGGGGGGGGGGGCCCGACCGGCCAACTCATTGAAGCCAATGAGCCGGGATGAGTAAAATAAAGTTACTTGTTCTTGTTATTTTCTACAGCGTGTCACAACCCAGTTACGTTTAGTCTACTTTGATCCTAATTTTGGTTTTTTTGACGTCCCACATAAAAAGGGTCCCGTACAAAACGGCAGGTAACGCTAGGGATTTGTCGGATTTTAATTTTTTACAGGTTCCTGCTACACTGCGTGACATATGATAATCTGTCACGTAACGAGATCAACAGACAATTCATTCTGCCTCACATAAGAAATCTAAACAAATAAATTGCCATCATGAACGAAAACGATACAACAAAGAAATAAACTTTACAAAATTTCACAAATATAAACCGTACAGTGA